GAATTATCTAAACTGATTATATATAAACAAATGGAGTTTTTTTGTTTTTGTTTCCATTTAATATATATATAAAAATTAGCGTAATGCAGAGAAAAAAGTAAATGATGTGTCAGCTTTACAGTTATTCAGTTGTGACATACAGCAATAGTAGTATATTGATGCATACAGTAAATACAGTTATAAACTATATATAGATAGCAGTACAAGGTTAGTCCACTAAAATGCCGACAGAGAGCTATTTATAACCACTTATGGAGCTAACATTGACACTGGAATGTGAAGGTGAGTTAAAATTGGAGAATAGTGATCTATAGTACACAAACGTGCAAGATCTGTGGAGCTGTTGTTTATGATCAATAAAGCCTAGACCAATCTTTTAGCAGAATTTTGTGGGGTCTGTCTACCTTGTACAGGGGTGTCCACACTGCTTCTCCTGTCCATGAAGTGGGGACGTGTTTTTTTAATTTATCTGTCAAGATCCAAGTGGGGACGTGTCAAGTTTTTTGGTTGAACATTATCAGTCATGTCCCATTCAGTTTCACAGTTTACTTAGCATTTTTTAGATAGAAAGCAGCTAAAATTATCTGATTTTCATTTTTTTTTAAATGAACGGTGACATCATATTGAGTTTCTGATTTTAAAGCTTACCTTCGCTTAAAGGACCACTATAGTGCCAGGAAAACATACTCATTTTCCTGGCACTATAGTGCCCTGAGGGTGCCCCCACCCTCAGGGACCCCCTCCCGCCCGGCTCTGGAAAGGGGAAAGGGGTAAAAACTTACCTTTTTCCAGCGCTGGGCGGGGAGCTCTCCTCTTCCGATCCTCCTTCTCTCCACCCATTCGGCTGAATGCACACGCGCGGCAAGAGCTGCGCGCGCATTCAGCCGGTCGCATAGGAAAGCATTTACAATGCTTTCCTATGGACACTTGGGTGCTCTCACTGTGATTTTCACAGTGAGAATCACGCAAGCACCTCTAGCGGCTGTCAATGAGACAGCCGCTAGATGCTTTGGAGGAAGGATTATCCCATTTATAAACATAGCAGTTTCTCTGAAACTGCTATGTTTATAAAAAAAATGGGTTAACCCTAGCTGGACCTGGCACCCAGACCACTTCATTAAGCTGAAGTGGTCTGGGTGCCTAGAGTGGTCCTTTAAGATCTTGGCCCTACCCCAATACTAGCAAGAGATGCAGATGTGCAAATATTTTATTTTACAATATTTTGCAAATTGGTATGATTTTCTTTTTTTCTTTTTATAATGGTTTTACAGCTTACAGGGACAGCCATTAAATACTTTCTATGGTGTTGAAGATCAACCAGTTCACAAATAAATTCAAAATAAGCTGCATTCTAAACTAATTTTATCAGATAGGGCATATGTTAGAGGTAACGTTGGCAGATGATCAGTGGTGTATCCTGGTTTTGTGCTGCCCTAGGCAGGACAAAACTCAGGCGCCCCCTCCCCTCCCGTGCCACCCTCACCCAACCTTCTAAAATACACACACACATTCACTGACAGATACGCATACACTAGCTAACAGAAACACACACACACACTAACAGACACACTCACACTCACTAACAGACACACTCAGTAACTGACACACTCACTCACACACTAACAGACACTCACTAACAGACACACACTCACTAACACACACACACACACTCACTAACAGACACACTCACTCATTAACAGACACACAGACACACTAAAAGACACACACACAGCGAACACACACTAACAGACACAAACTCACACACTGACACACACACACTCACTAACATACACTCACACACTAACAGACACACACACAGACACACACTAACAGACACACACACACAGACACACACACACACTAACATACACAAACTCACACACTAACAGATACACACTCACACACTAACAGATACACACACACTCACTAACAGACACACACACTCACTAATAGACACACACACACTAACAGATAGTCACACACTAACAGATACACACTCACACACTAACAGATACACACTCACTCACTAACAGACACACACACTCACTAACAGACACACACTCACTAATAGACACACACACACTAACAGACACACACACACACACTCACTAACATATACACACACACTAAAAGACACACACTCACACACTAACAGACACCCACACAGACACACACTAACAGACACACACACACAGACACACACACACTAACATACACAAACTCACACACTAACAGACACACACACACACACTAACAGATACACACTCACACACTAACAGATACACACACACTCACTAACAGACACACACATTCACTAACAGACACACACTCACTAATAGACACACACACACTAACAGATACAGTCACACACTAACAGATACACACTCACACACTAACAGATACACACACACTCACTAATAGACACACACACACACACTAACAGACACACACACTAACAGACAAACACACACACACGCTAACAGATACACACTCACACACTAGCAGATACACACTCAGATACACACTCACACACTAACAGACACTCACACACTAACAGACACACACACACACTAACAGACACAAACACACACTAACACACACACACACTAGCAGACAAACACACACACACACTAACAGACATACACACACAAACAGACACACACACTCACACACTAACAGACATATACACACACTCACTCACATTAACATATTTTTTTATTTATTTAACCCCCCAGCCTCCTTACCTTTGGGAATGCTGGGGGGGGGGTTCCCTCTCTTCCTGGGGGTCCAGTGGCTGCTGGGCTGGCGGGCGGCTGGCAAGGGAGCACTTCCTCTGAGCGGTCTGCTCAGCTCCCTCGCGCGCCGCAGAGTGAGGCTGGGAGCCGGAATATGACGTCATATTCCGGCTCCCAGCCTCACTCTGCGGCGCGCGAGGGAGCTGAGCAGACCGCTCAGTGGAAGTGCTCCATCGCCAGCCGCCCGCCCAGCCCAGCATGTTAGTTAGCCTCAAGGCTAACAAGGCATTTGCCCTGGGCATTTGGGGGGCGGCTTTTTTTTGCCGCCCCCTGGAAAATACCGCCCAAGGCAAATGCCTTGTTTGCCATGCGGCTAAAACGCCCCTGCAGATGATGCTGAATTATTCATTGCACTAGACGTTGCAAGAAAGCTATGAGAGAGAAACCAAAAATAATGAAATTAGAATTTTTTGAGAAAAACCACAGCATTTGTACAGATTTATGGGCAAGTGTAACAGATCTGTGGAGTAATAACTAAAACATAAACAATATTGAATTGTAAGAATAAAAATACTTACCTTTGTTGACCACACGTGATCTCCCCTGAACTTCACCTCTCCACCTGGAAACATCATGTTTTATTACTTTGGGCTCTGCCTCAGGGGTGTGTATACATACTCCTTCCTAGTCGTGGTCTCCTATGTCATCACTGCCCTTGTCTTGCTGACTCCAGTGTAACTCCACTTCCCCATTAAATTCATATCTCTGTTTATTGCATTTCTCATTCATTCATACCTCCATCATGGAATAATTCTATAATTGGCCCAGGGGTTAGTTTTAATCCATATATCCATCTCCATTCATAGCTACCTCCACACTTTTTGTGGTATTCTTCGTAGTGATACATGTCTGTCTTGGCACACCCCTCCTGTTCCCACTATTACTGTTTGTATGAAGCAACTTTATAGGGGATATGCCTTTATCCTCAAACATTCCATTGATTGTATCTTCTCAAACAGCCATTAGCTGGAGGAAGCAGTTATCATAAAACAGACAGGTTGAGGATACATCCAGTTTATTTTATTTGAGGCTTGAATCCCTAAAGCCCTCAACAACGTCCATGACTTGTCAAACTGTCAGGAAAATGAAGAGAAGAGGACAGATTGTGTCCAGCCTCAATTAAATTTCGTGTACCTAGTTCAGTTCAGTAAAATACAGAAATAGTTTGTAGTGACATTTTCTGAGTGTGGGGACAGTTTGACATCCAGTCCAGTTAATTAGATAGCACAATGATCTACAGAATCATTCAGCACATTAAAATACATTTCAAGATCCATATCAAACCCTGAGGAGTCCACCATGAATATGCTAGGAATTCTCTAATAACTCCTGCATAACTGGTAGATGCAGGGTCCCCTTTACTATTGATAGTTTATATTCACACTAAGTAAATTTGTACCAAGGTATGTTTCTGGTTCTTTTGAGTTTAAAGGAACAATAAAACATTAAATTAGTGATTTATTCATAAAAAAAAAAAAAAAAAGCATTATGCATAACCTTTTTATTTATGAAAACAGAGCCACTTTAAGGTGCTAAGGTTTCGCATGAGCTCCAGGACGTGTACAAATGCACACAATAAGTAACAGAAGTCATGATTTTGATGGCTATCACCGATGAAATGCATGTTCAGGGCATGCCTCCAATTCTGATTTTTTTCTATGTATATTTGGAATGCAGACCAGATTCCTCTTGGGCTTAGCACATTACTTATCCACAATAGGTGTCCCTTTGGAGGTGATCACAGGAAAGCATAAATTGAGGAGAGTCTCCACAGGTAGTTTAGGCTGTGAGTGTTGCATGTTGATCTCCTATTGTGAAATTGGTGTAGGACCCATTGATATTGGGGTACTGTGACATAGTGGTGAGCTTGACACTTTATGGCCATATGGTGTAACGGAATCCCAAGTAAAATTTTAAAATGTATGTTGTGTGTGTGTGTGTGTGTGTCTGTGCACTGTTCCCTAATCTTTACCTTGGCTATCCCTTATGTCATGGCTTTGGATGCAGATTAATTGGCATACGTAGCACGCTTACCAAGACATTTGTTGGCTGTGGGGACTCACTACAGAAAAAGGTAATTAGCCTGGCTCTCCATAGAGATGCATCAGGTTCATAGGGAGTCACAAGGAAAACAACAATTATATTATACACAATACAACTAAGGAACCATGCACATTTGCTTGTCCCAAAGATTAAGAAATATATGTGTGAGTACGCATGACCGCTACAGTGAAACTACAAAGAGCTCATTAAATCAGTTATGGTTCCTTTAATTGCTTACTCTGTTACTTGGATAACTGTGGTAATTCTAGAGCTAAGAAAATGCCAACGAGCGCAGACCCCCATGGATGTGTGTGCATTTTTCAGACCATCCGGGTCTGGAGGGAGTCATGTTCTTGGGTTGCCATGTTCTTTTCGCACTTTTCTTTCCACACCTTTTCTAATATACCATGATCCATGATGTGTACCAGGGTTTTTTCCCCTGAGGGCATGCATACATCCAGAAAACAACTCATGTCAAATAATTACTTTGTGAAATATAATTTGCTTTTCTAGCTTTTTTTGAGTGTGCATGTTTCCTTAGTTGTATTGTGTATAAAGCCTTTTATAGATCCAACACTTTTTATTAAGAAAGAGTAACCAAAAACATTCCTAATATATATATTTTTTAATAATGTCTGGTTACAGAGGAGAAACTAGCATCACAAGATGGTATCTACTTTAAATAGGTCACATACATAGTCTTGGCATATAGCCATCTTTGTTCTCTCCTATTCTAAGAAGACACTACCGCTATATACTCCTATTCTAAGAAGTCTAATGCACCCTAGAAAAGTTTTATATCACTGAGTTGTTACATTGGTGGTAGTTGTCAATATTTGATTGGTAATTAATGATACTGCCCTAGACCTTCCTTTATTGTGTGTTATTATAAAACAGTTGTTCTGTTTAATAAAGATGGGGCATTTTCTAAACTGACTCCCTTGTATGTCTATCATGAATGCTCCTAATTACTTGAAGGGTATGGCTCGCTCTGGATAGAACTGAACGGCCATGGCAAGTAATTATTGTGATCACCAAGGACAAGGGTATGTTTCAACAGTAGTTAACTACTAACTACTACCAGGGGCGTCATGGGGGTGAGGGGGCCCATGGCACCCCCTGCATCATGCAGTGCTGCTCTTGTGCCCCCCCTAATGAAATTGAAGCAGGGGACACTGAGTCTCCCTACATAAACTGCAGCAGGTGAAATAATGATTTGAAGAATTCCAACGTGCGACCAAAGGCACCGTGCTGGGAGGAACTTCCTGCTGGATCACAGAGAGCCTGGGGGAATGAGGCATCCAGGCAGCTGCTGGTAAGTGTGAGTCAGTGTGTGGCTCAGTCTGTGTGTGTGTGTGTGAGGGGGGATGAGGAGGTCTGTTTTTGTGTGTATGGGTCAGTCTGTGTGTGTGTGGGGGGGCTCAGTCTGTGTGAATGGCTCAGTCTGTGTGTGTGTGTTTGGCAGACATCCCAACATGCAAAGGCTTGTTTCAGGGAGGTAGCTTCACCAGCAACTGCACACCCTTTTTCTGCACCCCCCTACACACATATGTGCATACACACACACACACACACACACACAAAATGCACCCCCACACACGAACACGCACACTAAAATACACACAGCCATCAAACATGTATGAACAATTACATATTTTATTATGACAGAACACAACTATTTACACACACTATTAGCACACGGACTCATGCACACACCTTGACACACAGATACGGATACTGACATGCAGATACGGACACTGTCACATACACACACACTGTCACATACACACACTTGCACATATACAGAGATACACACACACACACACTCAGATACACGGACACACAGATTTGCACACACATTCAAATACACACAGATACACAGACTGGTATATATACACACTAAGATACATACAAATACACACACTGGCACATACTCACTCAGATACACTGACACACAGATACACACACACACACACACTCAAATACACACAGATACACAGACTGTTATATACACACACTTGGATACATACAGATACTCACTCAGATACACACTGACACACAGATACACACACTCAGATACACACTCACGTACAGATACACACACACTCAAATACACACAGATCCACACACACGTACCTACACACACTTAGATACACTCACTGGTACATACACACACAGATACACACACTTGCACATATACACACACACAAGGCATAATGATTTGATTAGCAGACACCCTTATCTTACCTTGTTTCCTGGCTGAGGCTGATGGGAGTGAGCATGTAGCTGCTCACTCCAACCTCTCCTTGCCTCCATGCTGCCTGTGTGCTCTAGCCTCTTCTTCCTCCCTCCCGCACAGCTGTCTTCTTAGCTGGGAGGAAGTGACAGCTAAGCAACTGGCAGGTACTGTAGGGGCCAGTCAGGCTCTTAATGGACCGGGCACCCATTCGGGTCCCAGCTCAGAAATAACATTTATTAGGTGGGTAATCCAAATCCTGCCGCTTCCATCTCAAAAACATTGCGCGCATCCAACCCTACTTAACGCCAGACGCGACTAAGGTGCTGGTCCATTCCACTGTCCTTTCTCGCCTTGACTACTGTAATTCGCTTCTTGGTGGTCTTACGTGCTCCCAACTTCCGCCGTTACAGTCCATAATGAATGCGACGGCAAGGCTAATCTTCCTGTCCTCTCGCACCACCCACGCCTCACCCTTCTGTCAGTTCCTACATTGGCTTCCTGTAAGATATAGGGCTCAATTTAAAATTCTGGTTCTTGATTTCAAATCTCTACATAATGCTGCTCCCACCTATCTCTCCTCCCTAATACACAAGTATGTCCCGTCTAGGCTCTTACGCTCTGCTGAAGACTTACGTCTATAGTCTGTCCATACTCCCACCTCTGATGCTCACCTTCAAGACTTTTCGAGTGGCTGCACTGTTCCTGTGGAACTCACTTCTCTCCTCCATTAGATGCTCACCCAGTCTGCATTCCTTCAAAAAATCATTAAAAACCCACTTCTTCATAAAAGCGTATCAATTAAATTGTTAATAGCTCCCGAATGATTCCTCTCTTGCAACTGTCATTAGTCTAATACTATCCTTACCTTCTGTGTCACATTACCCCACTTCCTCTAGCATGTAAGCTCATTGAGGAGGGCCCTCAACCCCTCTGTTCCTATGTGTCCAACTTGTCTGGTTAGAGTGGAACATATATAGTGGTATATATAGAGTAAAACCCCTAGTTGGGGAACAGCAAATATTTTTGGGTGTCCTAAAAAAAAGGATCTCTATTGTGTAGATAACTTTAAATTTGTAAGGACCCTATGTGAAGTAGTGATGGTTCATCTCACATGGTTCTGAGCCAAATATGACAGGCTCAGGTTGTTCTTGCAGTAGTAATTCCTGAGATATTGTTTGAGACTTGACGGTGTCAGGGAGACACACTACAAATATGAGAGTCTCCCGGACCTACCGGGAGACTTGGGATGTCTGGTCAGTATGTGTGTGTATGTGGATCAGTCTGTTTGAGGGGATTGGGGGAAGAGGGGAGTAAGTCTATATAAGTGCCTGAGCTCCAAGAGAGAGCTCTCATCTCATGACCTCCCTTGTACCCGATGGATAGGCAGCCTTCTCAACCACCACGGATCTGATTGTGCCACCCCCTCCCTGCAAGGTAAGATCAGGGAAAAGGGAATATATATTTTATCTTTTTTTTTTTTTTAATCTCTTATTAAAGTACAAATTGTAAAGCCCTTCACTATTCCACTCTCTACACCCCCTAAACACAGTACACCCTCAAGGACAGTGAACCCACCACATACAGTACACTGCCACCCACACAGAGTACACCTTTGCATAAATACACACTTCATCCCACACATCATCTCTTCACTCACATACACACTTAATCCCCACATACATTCACCCTCCCACACACACACATACATACATACATCACCCCATTACACACCGAATCTCATATATATGTTTATCTCTAAAGAGGTAGCACGGGGTTAAAAGGTCCAATCTTTATTTTAAATCTTTCACAGAGATTAAAACAGTAGAGAGTGACTGTTGGTCTAATTACATATTTATCGGTATCCTAGCAACCCCAGATCACGTCACCATTCAATAATCACGTCAGGTCATGTGACCGACGGTAGTCACTTCTGGGTACACATGGAGTGATTGAGGGATTCTGTCACTATTGGTGAGTACTTTTATATGTTATGTATATATAGATTGAATTTATGTTAAAATATTGATCTTGAGAAAGACCCGAACAGGTCGAAACGTCGATCAAACTACATGTAAATACCTATTTGGAATAAACAACAATTTATTAATTAAAGACCGCAAAGTGCATCTGTTATTGTGCTCTATATACTTCCAACGTGGGATTGCACCATGGCAAGAAATTTCTATTTGTATATGAGGAGAAAGGGTGAGTCCCAAGCTATCTTTATATATATATATATATATATATATATATATATATATTGCCTGGCCAAAAAATAAAGTTGCCACCTGGATTTAACTAAGCAAATAGGTGAGGGCCTCCTATTGGATAGTTACTGCATGGGCGATTATCTTTCAGCTGGAAACAAGTTATTTAACCCCAACTGATGCAATGAGTAGCTTCTCGTTTCTTAAACAACCATGTCGATAGACACATCCCGTGTCTTTGGAAAGATCTTAGTCTGTTTGAGAAGGGTCAAATCATTGGCAATCATTAAGCAGAGAATACATCTAAGAAGACTGCAGAAAATACTAAAATTGGGTTAAGAACTGTCCATCGCATTATTAAAAACTCCATATCCAATCTTGAGCTAAACTTTTTTTTGAAGATTATTCTGCATACATTTGTCCATTGTATTGAAACAAACTTTTGGGCACGTAGAGATTTGTACTAACGTTAATAGGATGTGTTTAACTTTGAGTTACATCTTATACATATAAGTGTTTGGAGACCTCATGTCTGAGAATAATCTCTTTTCTGTGCAGAGCAAAACATTTAGAATTCATGAATCTTGATTTCTATTGGAAAATCTAATCTGATCTGATCTACTCTTAAGAGCAGTTGTCAAATCCTATTATTATAATGCACAGTTTGCAGGTGTCTGGCTTTGAATGTAATTGTAAAGTCAAAATATGTTATTCAACAATATTAGTGTGATAAGAACATTTCTTTCTGTGCAATGGAGCAGAACGTGTAATGGAGAAAAAAAAAAAAAGGATGAAACCTTCTGCATTAAACCTGCCACACGGGTAGTGTTCCAATCAAAGTGCAGTTTACTATATATATATATATATATATATATATATATAATGAAAATGTTTTCAGAATCTTGGTAAATTATGCGCAGTAGTGTAATTTAGCTTAAGCTTGCATGATCTGTGATGATATTGTAAATAATATACAAGGTAGCAATTAGACATGTGCA